AAAATTAAAAACAGATATTCTGAGAAATACTACATACAAATAAGTGAGTTTCTGAAAATTGTTTATTAGATTTTTCTCTTGGGCTGTTTTTGATGCCATGCTAAACTTGCTGACATGTATTATTGTTTTTTATTTAATTTTCATCTTGGACTGTTTTTGATGCCATGCTAGAAAATTGCTTACAAATATTATTGTTTTTTTTGTCAATAAAAAAGATGAAAATTGCAAACATAAGAAGTAGTTTTAAAAAAAACTGTTCTCTACGAAGTTTGAGTTGCTAATAACATTCTTGAGCGATGATTTGCATATCACGTGGCCATTTTGCATGGAACATGATACACGCCCTGAAGTGCAGAACAAACTAATTTCCATCAAACTGGGCAATGAAACCATTGCTGCCAGTCACTGAGTTTTATGTAGCCTCAATGATAATAAAAATATAGCAATGAAGCAAACAGTCCAGAAATAGATCCTAGTGTATGTTACATGTCAATGAAATTTTTGAATATGCCGTTCATTTCAGTTTACACAGTTGAACCTTTCCAAATATCTTTATACTTTATCACTGTACATAGTTATCTAAGATGCAAACCCAATATATTTTAAATCTTTGTCTATAGTAATATCTTGTAAGTGCCTTTAGTGTTAAACATCATTGCAATTTTTAAATTAATTCAAATAAATTAAATTGGCATTTTTCTTTTAAATAAATTAAACTATGTAACGTTTTTTTCCAAACAGTATACATGTACACATACCAAGTACAGTAAAATACCTTATTTTGGCTCAGAATTAAATTTTGCTATTTCTGCTGAAGGGATGATTCAGTGAAAATAAAATCCAGTGAATATACATTTTTTTCCATATTCTACATTCAACAGAGAAAATAAATTGCATAAAATATACCAAACAAGCAGCCTGTCGACTGAGATAGCTCCGCTGTTAGCAATGCACATTTCAATTAAAGAACAGAAGATATCATCAGAAAATGAACAATATGTATAGTATCAATGCAATGGGACTTGCTGTTTTTTACAAGTATTCAAAAATATCACTTTTTACCAAAAATGACAAAAATATTCATCAAAATTTGAGAGTGGTCCACATGTAGTACCTATATATGTAATATCAAAGCAATTGGACTTGTGGTTTTTAACAAGAAGTTTAAAATATCACTTTTTAGCAAAAATGACAAAAATATTCACCAAAATTAGAGAATTGACGATATCATCATGAAATGAACAAATCTGAGAGAGGTTTACCCAAGGTACATATACACCAAGTATCAAAGCATTCAGGCTTGTAGTTTTCAAGAGGAATTCGGAAAAGTAAAACATTGACAAGGACAATGGACAACAGACGACAACAATCACTCATATGATAATCTCTGCTCGACATAGTTGACAGCGGAGCTAAAAAGTCTTCTCAGCAAAAATTTATTCTTCTAAAATATTTTACAGTACTGTACTAGTTGCTGATGATGGTTCCCTCACATAACTTCTCATACAAATGTTGTCCATATCCATAGCATATACATACAGAAATGCTTAAAAATATGCATATTAATGAGGTCACTTTCCACAAAAATAAACTTGAATAATTGTTGGTTACACTCAATGTCATGTTAAAATCTGTTTTTTTTTTCAAACTGCTAAAAAACTCAGTTGTTACAGCAAACCGGTGGATACATGTACTATGACAGTATAATAGTGTTATACTGTGTCAAAAGTGTAGTGACAATACAAATATATCATACAGTAAAACTTACCCTTCTCCTTTACACACTGCATATACTGGTAATATGTTTGGGTGCTTAACTTCTGACACACTCACTTCCTGTCAATGAAACAAAAATTCAAAACTGAATACCATAATTGCTCTATTAGAAGCACATATAAAATTATATTGTATAATTATGTTATCTTAACACTGATAGACATTATTATTATTATTATTGTTATTATAAATGAAAAATCATATTTGTTTCATACTGATCCTTAAAATATGATTTATTTTGACCATAAAAATACCTCAAATCTGTAATAATAAAGCATATGCGCTACTAATATAGCTAAGATGGTATTCAATAAATGAAATTATTTGATGTACAGTATATAATATCCACTGCCATTATAATGGCAGGAATTAAATTGGCAAACTAAATTCAATTAGCACAAGCAAAATAAATGATTTTTTACCAATGAAATGCCTAGTATAGCAAGCTAATTTTTTATATCGACAAATGCTGAGAATATCAAACCCTCATGTGAACTTTGCTGATTAAATTTTCATCTTGAATGTACCATCATTGAATGGTACAAAAAAAAAATGTTTTCACCAATATTGATGGGAATAAATATCAAGCCTTAAACATTCTGTCTATAGCTCTATGAAATAGGTTGTTCTGAAGTATGTGCACAGGGGTTTCTTTGCTTGGAGCTGATTGCAAGAAAGAGATTGGCTACCAATCAGCCATATTGATCTGATTACAGGAAGAGGAATTACAATGGCTACCAATCAGCCATATTGATCTGATTACAGGAAGAGGAATTACAATGGCTACCAATCAGCCATATTGATCTGATTACAGGAAGAGGAATTACAATGGCTACCAATCAGCCATATTGATCTGATTACAGAAAATAGAATTACAATGGCTACCAATCAACCATCTTGATCTGATTACAGAAAATAGAATTACAATGGCTACCAATCAGCCATCTTGATCTGATTACAGAAAGAGGAATTACAATGGCTACCAATCAGCCATCTTGATCTGATTACAGAAAATAGAATTACAATAGCTACCAATCAGTCATATTGATCTGATTACAGTAAGAAGAATTACAATGGCTACCAGTCAGCCATCTTGATCTGATTACAGAAAGAGGAATTACAATGGCTACCAGTCAGCCATCTTGATCTGATTACAGAAAAGAAAATTACAATGGCAACCAATCAGCCATTTTGATCTGATTACAGAAAGAAGAATTACAATGGCTACCAATCAGCCATCTTTATCTGATTACAGAAAGAAGAATTACAATGGCAACCAATCAGCCATCTTGATTTGATTACAAAAAA